TAATATTATATTTCAATGTTTCAAGAAAACGATTCACCTTAGCAATAAAATAGAAGAATTTTTAAGAAATTTGTCAGAACTGCTATACCAGTAAAAAATTTTAAGAATGCCTTTCTGTTTTCTGAGCATAATGATACCATGTCTCAGTTCTGCAGTAGAAACACAGTACTAGCATTTCCTGTTTACACTCTTCCTTATTTTTCTGTGTATTAACATAATGAGGCAAAGTCCATTGGGAAAGAAGCTTATAAAATACAACACACCAGATATGATAGGACTCAGCTTATACAACAGCAGTCACTGCAACTTTTCTGAGCTCTACCACTGATTCTTACAACACAACAAATAAATATTCATGAAAAATAGAAACCCAGGAAATCTGTAATGGAATAGATTCCTCAATGTATATCCTAAGGCCTAGTAGTGATACACTTTATTTGTTGATAGAACTAAATCCATATTAAAAAAAAATAAAGTGTTTAGAACTTCTTAAATATGAAAGGGGAGTCCTTAAAGATCATTAAACAGGGAAGTGGTGTGATTTAGTTTTTGTTTAAAAAAAATCAACTGGCTTCTCTGTAAATCATAAAAGGGTATGAATTTAGAAGAAAAGCATTGAAAAAGCTGTTGCAACAATCCAGATTTTAAATATTTGTTTATGTAGTATATATGTGCTATGTGTGCCCTTGGAGACAGAATAAGACAAACTTGCTGGTGAAGAGGAAGAGCAGGTTAAGGAGAAGGATCTAAGACGACGCACAGAAGTTTGATTATATCTGAGTGGATGGGGATGCCACTGACGGAGACTAGACAGCTTCATAGGGGAAAATTGATGCATAGGTCACCAAGGACTCTGGGGCGGGGGACATTAGTTTGGGTAAAATTCCAGCTTCATTTTTAGGAGGACACATATACTTAACTGTGTGTCCCTTCTTACCATATGAGATTAAGAAATTCAGGAGTGAAGTTATAAACTTCAGATTTGAAACAATGATGTTAAAGACATGTGGTGATATTTTATTTGTGGTGAAATGTGATATTTTAATCTGTGCCTGGAGATCAGAGGAAATAGAAAACCATTTTAAGTAAACAAAGAAGTCAGGCAACAAGGGTAGGCACGCCCTTAATCCTATCACTTGGCAGGCAGGATCTCTGTGTGTTCAAGGCCCCACTGGAAACAGAGCCGGGTGTGGTGACACACGCCATAAATTCCAAAACTAGTTAACCATGGAGGTCCAATTCCAAAACTAGTTAACCATGGAGGTGCGGAGGTCTGTACAAACAGACAGGAAGTGACAGAGCTGTGTAGGAAGAGGAAGTGATATAGCTGAACGGAGAGAGCAAATCAGATGGCAGAACACAAGGCGTATAGATGTGGGCAGACAGGCAGTAACTCACATTTGGAAGCTGCAGAGTTGGTGAGGTAAGGTGGCTATTTCCCTGATCTCTCTAAGGCTTTCGCCCCTATATTTGACTCCGTGTGTTTTTTATTTAATAAGACCATTTTAGAAATTTGTCTACAAAGACATGGAAAAATTTCTCAGGAAGAGAGTTGGTGAAGAAATAAAAGGAATGTCAAAGATTAGACTACGCAAGGGATAATCAGCCAATTTTTCAGAAGAGGAACTAATGGACCATTACAGTGTCAGGGTGGTGTGGCTTCATGAAGCTGAAATCCCATAGGAATACATACAAGAGGAATGAAGTGCTTCTTTTCTGTGTGAAATGATAGTGTATGAATGGACTGAGAACCAAGAAGTGACTGAGTTTTAGCAATCTGGGTATCAGTTGTAACCTAGACAAGAGTCCTGTCATTGGAGTCCAAGGAGATAATAAGCTGTTTGAAGGGAACTTGAGAAAAAGATGAAAGGCGAAGAGTGTTGAGTCAGAAAATAGTCAAATTGTTCAATATGTGTTGTTGTCTAGGTACATGACAGCTGATGGAGAGGTCAAGCTGAAGAGAGACATTGACACTTAGGCAAAGGAGATAATAATTGCAAAGAAAATGGTCCAGAGATACTTACATCATCAGGAAATGCTTACATCATCTACAAAATAAGAAATTTAATAGAGTATGATACCAATTCAAAGAAATTTGTCATGTTGATTGGAAAGCAGAGAGACTCGCGGTCAGCTTCGTTTTAGCATAAACTAAGTGGTAAGTTCATCCTCCCACATGTAGGAAAAAGGGTGGTAGGAGGCTGAGGAAAAAATAAAAACTCTTGATTAAGAGAGAGGAAATAAGAAAGTGTTATTAATTTTTGTAGGGAATCTTTGGGATGACTATAGCATCTCTGTATGAAGTTAAAAAATTTTATTATGATTTGTATGAGGATTTTATTATGATTTTTCTAATGATAACAACTCTAAATCTTTTTCAAAAATGTAGAATTCTTTAAGGTTGTAAAAACATTCTTCCTCTCCCTTAGTTATTTTCTTTGAGGACTCAAAGATAGATTTGTTAGGTTTTTTTTTTTATTCTAAAGAAAGTAGAGAGAATAGAGAAAGCATTCAAATAATTGAAAGTCTTGAAGAAGGGGGTCACATGGGACAAAAATATAGAAACAAGAGTCAGGGATACTAGGGAACAGCTAGCTCCTCCAACCCCTCATTTTATTAAGGTTCAATAGACAATGTGGTTGCAGCATACTGTGCTAACAGGCAAATAGAGATACACTTTGCTTCCAATACTGTAGGATTAATTATACCCTTCAGTCTGCTCATGTGACTCCTATAAGCCAATTATCCTGGGCACGGCCATGAGCTAACTTTGGTGCCTCTTGTAGAAGTAGAAAAAAAGGGGAGATTTGTGTAGGGGAAATTTTCAACAATTTGTGTTATAAAACTACAACTTTCATTAGCTGACAGCAAATCAAATACATTTAGACGCAAGAAAGGGCACTGTAGTCAAACGTAATTAGGCGCATGTTGGCACAGACCATCAAATTCATATATGCATGCATATTTACGTGCCAAGCACTATGCCAAACACTGGGTACACACTGAACAGCCCATCAAATTTTCTGTAACAAAGTCGTGCGTTCTCACAGCTAAAACACAAATCAACTGTAAAATTTCACTGTATTAGTGGAAGCAATCCACGGCATCTAAACCATGTGTGTTTGCTCAAAAAGAAAGTTCAGCTAATTCCTAATAAGCTGGGTCTAGATCCAGTTCATCTGAGTCTAGGTTTCTCATCTTCAAAAGGACAGTTTTGTATGAGAGGACCTTGAAGTCACTGTACAGTACTAGTTTTAAATGTAATTTATGAAATGTGCACATACAGTATGAAATAAAGAATAACTGGAGTCATTTGACCAGAATGATTTATAACATTTTCTATTGTGTTTTTTCCAAGACAACCCCTTCAAGAAGAACATATTTTCATTTCTATTTCAGAGGTAAAGAAAACAGCTTCACAGAGATTGTAAGAAGTGTTGAATAGGCATTTGAGCCAGATGACAAACTCAGATCTCCTGAGTCTACATCCAAAGGGTTCTCCGCTGAATGTAGTGGGACCACTTCATTTTCTGCTCCCACTGTATAGAACCATAAAGAAATAATTTATATTTCTTTTGAAGCATTTTCAAAGTCTAAAAACCCAATATACATATATGACAATGATAACAAATTAAATTCCCACATTGTCTTTCTAAGGAGAAAATATTGCTTATTCTATCAGCTATAAGAACCTATTCATGCTCATAGGGGGAGAGAGAATAGAAAAGACAGCTGGAAGTGCCAATGAATGTCAATTTTTCCAGAGAATTAAAAGTGCTCTAAGGAAGAAAAAAGTTAGAAAGCAGAAAGTTATAACACTGCTATACTTTTTTGAATATGGAAGATTCAGAATCAATAGATACCATGATGTGAAGGATGAGGAGAAAAACAAGTTGAGGGGAATCTAAGTACATTTTTACTAAAACTAGCCATCAGCCAGCCCCATTTAATTTGGAGTAATGAGCATCTTGGCTGATTGATCCATAGACAGAGCTTGCTCAAACCTGCACATAAAACTGCCCTGTTCCTATCCAAGCAAGCTGCCTCCCTTGGATTGTGCAGATAGATCACTTAATTGTCAAGCACAAAGGCAATGAAAATCAGACGTAGCTGTACACAAAGACAGATGCCTGCCAACAGCGCTACCTGAGTAGTTAGGAGACCACCTTCTCCTAAATTCCTCTTTCCAATGTTTGCTGTTACTGAAGACATCATCAACAGCGAATAAAATCCTTTGTTTTACAACAGAGTTAAAGAATTTTGTCTGCTATGAAGAAAGGCCAACTCTGCTAATGTGTGTGTCCAGTCTCATGATATTTCAATATAGTATGTAGGACAATAGCATAATGGAGGCAAAACAACTCCCTCTCGCCACTTAATTCAATGAGGCTAAAAATCTAATGACTTTAAACTTAGGTAAAAATCACAAAAGTTAGAGTCTTCTATTAGTATAAGAAAAATGTAATACAAAACTAATCAATTAAAAAAGTGGAGGGAAAAGTGAATTATCCTCTTGCAGAGGACCCAGGTTTGGTTCCCAGCACCCACTTGGAAACTAATAACAGTCCATAGATCTAGTTCCAGGAGATCTGACAACCTTTGTTGCCACAGCAGACACTAGCCATTTATGGGGTGCATATACACACATGCAGACAAACACTTCTACTCATAAAATAAAAAAATAATTAAACTCATTAAACAGTGTAACTTTACAATTTGCATCCTAAATACCTAAAATCCTGTGTTTGTGCTTGTATGTGTATATGTTAGATATGCTTGAATTTTCACATTATGTCTTATTTCAATAAATTGTTGTGATATAACTAAATAGGAAGATAAAATATTCTTAGGACAATAACATATAGTCAAAGTAGAATACTACAGAGAAGCCAGACAAAGATAGAATGGTAGCAAGTTGATAAATTGAGTTAATTCACAATTTGATGAAATCTAAATTCTGACCGAAAATAATTTCAAGTTTGGTACTTTCAAAAGGTACAGATAAATGAAGAGATATACATCTCCCAAAAATGAGAAGGAAAAGAAGAAAGGCCTATAGGAAATGGAAACTCTTGAATACTACAGTATGTAAGTGCAATTTGATGCTTTGGTAAAGGGTATGTACAAAATTAACTGCATCTGTATATACTTTGTTCGTTATCGGAGATATTGGTAAGAAGGGGAAGATATGTATTAAGAAATGCTATAAAATAGTTTAATGGCTTTGTCTTAGTTAGGGTTTTATTGCTGTGAAGAGACAATGTGACCCTCAGCACCACTGTGCTCCTCATGCTCCTACTAGGATGGCCCCTGAAGCTCCACTTAAAGCATTCAACTGCTTTTCTAACCTGAACTCCAAAAGTCCACATTCCTGCAAACAAAAACGTGGTCTGGCCTGTCACAGCAATACACCACTCCTGGTACCAACTTTTGTCTTAGTTAGAGTTTTATTGCTTTAAAGAGACACCGTGACATCAATAACTCTTATAAAGGAAAATATTTAATTGTAGCTGGCTTACAGTTCAGAGGTTTAGTCTATTATCATCATGGCAGGAAGCATGGTGGCATTCAGGCAGACATGGTGCTGGAGAAGTATCTAAGAGCTCTACACCTGGATTCACAGGCAACAAGAAGAGACAGTGGCCCACTGGGCCTAGAATGAAATTTGAAAGGCCAAAGCCCACCCCGAGTGACACACTTCCTCCAGCAAGGCCATACCTACTGCAAAGCTATACATCTTAATAGTGCCACTCCCTATGACAAAGCATTCAAACACATGAGTTTATAAGGTTCATTCTTATTCAAACTACCACAGGCTTTGACCTTTATAAATGCATTTATACATTATTATTCATTTTTATTATAGCCTAAAAAGATTTAAGTAGAATATTTACTTATTTAGAAATAGTCAGTTAAACTCCCACCTCATTATTAAAATCTGCTGTTAAAGCATTGCTGTATAACTTTCCCAATTAGTCTTCTGCAGGCTCAACATAGAAATGGGGCCACCCAAAAATTACTGGAAGTGTAAAATTATCAAGTGGTAAGGGTTATATACCAAATTGCTCTTGGTATAATGCATTATTTTGAGACTTATTCATAATCTTCAGGTCTGAAAGGTAATCTGTCAGTTTATAAACTGTTACCATGTCCATGATTGATTGTAAATGGGCTTAGAGAGACTTTTCTCTCTGTCTCCTCTCCCATGGCACCCACATTACAGTCTTCAAACTTAAGTGGATTCATGGAAATTGTACTGGTAACTGCTAAGAGTGAAGTCCTTCCTTCAGGACTGAAGAGTGCCAAATGAAGTGGTCAGATTCCTCAAGTCCTGGAGTATTCTTTTTCTCCCTTTCCTGGGAAAGGGTATTTCCTCTCCGTGTAGGGATTTATGTAACAATGCATATTGTATATGCTATGTAAACATATGTATACTATGTTTAAATCTGTAATGTTTAAGACAAATTTATTTTTAAAACTTACTAATTTTTAACTTAATCAGCTTGTTAAAAAATATCCCTTTTGAGGAACCAGTGAGATGGTTTAGTATGTTTGCCACCAAACTTTGTGACTTGAGATTAATCTCTGTGTCAAACTGATTCCCTCAAGTTGACCTCTGATTTCCATATGCATGTCACAGCACACACACACACACACACACACACACACACACACACACACACACACACACACATATATATGATCAATCAATCAATCAACGACAAAATACATTTAAGCTATCCCTGTGAACATCTGTTTCTTTGATTTTCAAGGCACTAGTGGCTATTGTCATTCTTCTGTTTTCTTTAACAATCTCCTCATGTATTATTTGAAACACAATATGGTATCTTCATATTTTGTCCATGGTAGTTTGTATAAGGGCAGATGCCTCATGTCCATGTCAACAAACTTTATAGAGTAAAAGTAAAATAGCACTTTGAAATAGAAGAACACAAGTTACCAGTTGACATTCCCTGGATTATATGTGGTCTCTTTATGCATTGGCCTCAAACTTTAGAGAAATTTTTAGTAGTGTGAGCCAATCCTCAAGAATTAAGTGACTCTGAAAAATACGAACAGAGATTCTAGTACTTTCTTAGAAAATGAGAATGTGGCAGTAAGCAATCTCTTTCCCCCACAGCAACTTTTGGCTAGAACTAACTATGTGTACCAAGCCTATTTTATTTGTAAAGATTGCCTGGATACCACAGGAGTTTGCATTTGTGAAGATACCCTTTAAAAAGTATAAGGTAATAGAATCTATATGATGTGTTTGAAAGACATTCTATAGGTCATACTGAGTTCTCTTCCAAGCTCTTTACCAGTATTTTTAAACCTATGAAAATAATTTATGGAGTTTGACATAGCCTGTAGATTAATATTAGAGTAAAACTTCAGGACATGTCAATTTGTTTCTTATTAGGAAGTTGCATTAAAATTTTAGTGGCATACATTTTTTAAAGCATGAATTTCTCTCCAATTCAGAAGTTGTCTTTAAATAAATCTTAATTAAGTTTATTTTCTAAATTACAAGTGTTATTTTATGTATCCAAGGATACTTAATTTAAAATAAGATTCATTTGAAATGGATTTTCATGAAAACTGTGTTACCCAAAATACTTACTTCCTATATTCATCCTATGATTTGTAACATCTGCTCTTTAAGTGGACATAAAACATTTTTCCTCCCTTTCTCCTTCCTTTTTAGGTACGTCTCAGCCATCTGGTCAAGCATGTCAAAAAAATGTGAAAGATTTTGAAAAGGACATAAAGGGACACACTTCAGAGGCTGTGTTTCATCAGACCGGGGCATTAGAGAAATTGAAGGAAAATGGAGATGAGTGTGTATCTATTTCTATAAATGGAAAACAGAATTCCTCTTTTCTCCCCAAAGATGAGAAACAACCTCCATGTGACAGCAAAATACACAAGAGGATGGAGAATGATGACCCTCCTTCGGCCATCTCTTATCCACTAGAGGAAATCTTACCAGTGGCCATGTTTAATGACTGTGAAAAATCGTTATCGGAGAAAATTACAACACTGAATTTCCCAAACACAGTAGAAGCCTTAAAGCCAACAAAAGGCAAATTTATTACAGAAGTCAAATGTGGAGCTTTCAATGTACACGTGGAAACCACAAAAAGTGTTTTGTATAAAACAGGAGCTCAGTTTCCAGTGAAAAAGCGATGCCCAACATGTCACCAGCATTATTCTGTCCAGCAAGCACAGAGAGGCTCCACAGCTCGGGGCCACTTCCCTAAATACAGATCTGTATTAGCAGAAGATTTCAAGCCCAAGGTACCATCTGCATGCAAAGGAGAGGTTTCTAGAAGTGAGATCCCTTCAATAAACATAAACATTGCAGGAAAAGAAATAATGGTTGAATATGCAAGTAAAAAACAGAACATATTCATCAATGTATCTCATCCTAAAAGCATAGGAAAATCGACAAAACAAAGAAAAAGTTCCTTGAATCAAACCACGAAAGAACCTTGTCAGTCTCCTTCACAGCCTGCTATAAATCTCCCTGAAAACTGGAGCCTTGAAAACCAGAGTTCAAATGGTTTGCATGACGCTCCCTGTAGTGTGAATATTGTCCAGAAAGAGGATTCAGACAAAATTGTGGTTTCTCTAAGCTCACCTCTCAGGAGGGAGACAAAGAAACCCAATATACTGCCTTCTGCCTCAGATGATTCAGAAGAGAAAGATTCTGCCACATCTCAGCAGAAGGTCCTTCAAATTATTCAAGACAATCCCCCAAAGCAACATTTCTTCACAGCTGACTCTTGTCTTCCTACCTCATCTGAAACCTTAAGGACCACAAGTTTAAATAACATGGATTTAAATAAAATGTCTTTTGAGGATTCTAGGGATGTGGATAAAGAGAGAAAAAACAGCTCTCATGTCAAGGAAAATATCATCTTGGATTCTCAAGTACGGCCATGCACAGCAGGAACAAATGGTCCCCTAAGTACTATGGGTGGTGTAATTCCCATCCAAGATGCCTCAGACTCTGAATTTTGTCCTTTGTCTTTTCTAACCATGCAACTCTTGGGAGAAAAAGCAGGCAACACCAGCTGCCGCGGCAACAGAACTCTACCAGCAGAAGACTGTGACAAGTCAAGTTCTTCTTCCCCTGTCAGTGAACATGTTCTGAAGCCTTCTCCTTTGCTCAGTCCATCTCACAAGGGCACAAGACATTCAGAACTTGTCGAGACTTCTGAGAACACATTTTCCTTTAGCCAATATATTGGGATTGAGACAGAGCAGGAGAAAGTACATGGTGATGTGACTTACAGAGACATTAATGAGCCTATGTTACACAGTGACTCTCCTGCAAACACACAGACTGCAACTGTCGGGCTTGCACCCTGCAGCAGCCTAGCTTCGAAGAGCCCACTTCATGGTGATATACACAGCTCTGTGGGATGTGATCAAACAGAGGACCCTGCAAATCATGTAGAGACAGAAGCGCCAGTTCTGGCCTCCATAACTGATGAGTTCGAGCAGAGAGTTGCTACTCAGAATTGCAGAGAAGACACAGTTGATTCTAACTGCCCCACGGCAATAAGAAACCCTAGAGAGTCAACAGGCTATCAGGAAAATGTCGAAATACCAGTGGTGAATGGTATGTGCCACGGAGATTTTGAAGACCTAACTGGTGAGAATCAGAATGAAATCTGTTCTCAAATGGACTTTCCACCAGACTCCACTGGGTCTGCCTGTACAGGACATGCTACAGAAAAGCTGTTTCTTATGGATAAGACACTAACCGGTGACACAGATCCAAATAGTAGTGAAGGTGACAAAAGTCTTGGACTGAACAACTTCAAACAGGAAGCAGCAGAGTACCAAAGGACTGTATCAAGGGGACACCCTGAAGAACGTGAGAACAAAAGTGACCCCACAGAAACTCCCTGTCACCCTGTGGACATATTGCTGTCGCCGCAGAGCCAGAAGGCTCTGAAAGGTACAGAGGGTTAAACAGAGTTTTAAGCTTTTATTATCGTTATGTGTGTGAGCCTTGAACAGTCTTGGGTTAAGTACTTTTTACTGCTTGGGATTTTTTTCTCCTTATTGGCAAGATGTGTTGAGTATTTCAAACTTAGACAAAAATGAACAAGACTATATCTAGCAGCCTGTCTCTTTGCATTAGAACCAACTCTACCCATAAGTAGTATGTAGAAAAATCGCCACAGCTGCAGCTTTAGTATAAAATCAAATTTTTCTCTTTAAAAAATCCATATATTGGCAAATCAATTTTGTTGAAACATTAGCCTGTGCCACTCATAAATAATCTACTATTTCTTCTAATCTTGCAAGGTAAGCATGTTCAAAAGAATAGGAAAAATATGCTTGTAATAAAATGTGTTCTCAAACCTTGCTGTAGGGTTGCATGGGCAGGGTCATTCATATCTCTAGGCCATGTGGAATAGTTATTAAGGCAAAGGACAAAAAGCAGAGACACCCTTAACTAATCCTCACTGAACCATCCTTAGGACCTTTAACGCCCACAGCCCTCTGACCTCCGTGTTGTCTTGCCTGGTCTTACTCAAACAACTGATAGAACCCAGGCACTCTTGAGACCTCAAGAAGGGCTAAGGTGGAAGCTCTTTCCTAAGTACATAATGCTGTCTGTCTGGTTTCAATCCTGGCACCGTAAAACATCGTCCTGGTTACTTCATTAAAGGTCTTTGTGTTTCTCAATGAGTCCAAATTATTTGATACTTCATGTTAGCATTATTCCATAGTATAAATTAAAATACATCTTGACTAAGTAAAAGCTGCCTCCAGCATTCCAGATAGTATACCGAATACGCTCAGAAATGAGACTGAGAATGAAGAAACTTCTCCCTAAGGTTTTAATGGAAAAATTTTAAAGCAGGAGCAAAATTAATTACTCTAAGTTTTTGAAATTTTAGGAGTAGAACTATAACACAAGAAGCATAATCTATTACATAAGTGCTGCCATAAAATGTGAAATTTGATGCATGGAAAATTAATCCTCTAAAAAATTATATAAACTGTACAATCCCCTACTTTGTATGAAAACCCTAATTGAAAATCTGCTCATCCCAGTGACTGCTTGCTAGGACCCATGCAGCTCCAGATACCAGGCCAGTCACATAAATTCCAAGATTTGTGTCAATATACAGTGTTTTAGAACTGTAAGGGAACCTATAGTACAAGCACTAATGCCTCCTGGGGTGGGGGGGTAAATGCTCATCTGGATGAATGTCCCCCACAAACTGCCTTTCCCATCCCCAGAAGTATGTTGCATACTGCCTCGCCCAACACTGTATACAATTAAAAATCCAAATAAGAATCCAACCACAAATGAGATTACTCTCAATAAATAACCTGAAATTGTCCTCACTTGGAAAACAACTGCAACCACTGTTCCCTGCCTTTCTTTCTGCGGCTCATCAAATGTCTGTCCTACAATCTTTTGCTTCTTTCCCCCTGGGTAAATCAGTTCCAGGCACTTTTGACCTGTGTGAACTTCTAAACCCTTGCCCCACCATGCTTTTTCAGGCCCTTCACATGGGCTGCTTCTACTATTTGGACCAGTCTTTCTACATATCTCAACAGGGTCATTCTTACCTTGTCTCTTTACGTTATCTTCAGCACGTAGTAATCACAGTAAGAACGTCTCAGAAATTTAAAACTCTAATCTGAGTTGTCCTTGTTCCAGCCCAAGTTCATCGTTTTTCCTCTTTTTACTCTCATGTATAACTTTTTTTCTTTCAATGTTACATATTTCACTTGTTTATTTATGTTCTCTTTCTTTGCTAAAATGTAGATTTTGTGAAGGTTTATTTTTCTTCTCTGATAATTTATGTTTCTACAGCATTATATATTACCTGCCCTTTAGAATAAAGACTCAATGAGTATTTGTTGATCAAATGCGGGGAAGTCATACCAGGTTGCTCTGTGAAATGTCTTGTTCGCATACCCATGTACTTATATACAGAAAAGAGTTCAGCAATTAAAATAGTTACAGATACTATATTTAAATTTATAAATGTCTTCATGATTTTGATTTTCTTAGAACTAGGAATACTTTTATAATTTATCAACATTATTGTCTTGGCATCTCAGGCCAAGATTGCACAAAAGTTCAGGGTATGAAGTGCTTTGAAAGACTTAGGTTGTTTCACCTGAAGTGAAAAAAAAGTCTTTGTAAGCACAAACTGGTATTTGCATTTTGCAAGTGATCCTTCCCCACTCAAAGTCTGTCAATGCACATGAAATTAAGAAACTTTGCCCTAAGACTGAGTGTGTCTAGAAGTAAGAGAGTTAGGGCAATGTAAAGGAAGGGTATGAGCCTTACCCCTCTAAGAATAAAATACTAAGTTCTTTATCAGATAAGTCTTAGTGTTCTTGGGGTAGAATTTCTTCAGCTAAAAATTATCTGAAATATATGTATAAGATCTATTCCAAGAACCAGAAAGTCTACATCATAAAAACATTTATGATAAAACTAAAACCAGGTCAACCTAAGAAAACAACAGACAATAAGAATTCAGTGATGTCTTATATGCTATAGACATGTTCACAATTATACAGTGACTTATATGTAATATGACACAAAATTTACATACAGTATATACAATAGTTTAGTTTCCCATAGCTCTAAAAAAATGAGTGATTCTAAGAGACCTGGCAAAAACTAGAGATTTGAGAAAGGTTGAGATCCAAGCTATTTACCAATAGCTGGGAATGGAAAGATGAACAAGAAGACATCCATTCTTTTGTACAAAGCAACAGCTACTGAGATAACTTCCAACAACGTGACTTATGTTGAAGCTGGGACTTCCTACACATGTGATTATTAACATGTCTGCTGATGTGCACAGGCCCAGCCTGTCCCAGTTTCCACTGAAACTCTGTGCTTTCCTCCAAAGGTGCTTCTCCAGATCTGCATCTTTTCTCCTCCTTCACTTCCTGGATCCCCCATACTCTCAAGGGGACCACTTTCACACCCATTCTTAGGGTCCCCATCCAGTCACACAGCTCTTTATCAAAATATCAGTAATGAGATCATTTTGAAAGAACAAGTAGGTGAAGGCTGGAAAAGTCTGAGTCAAGGAATTGCATTCAATACAGTGGTGTGCCTTCTTCCTACTACTAAGATGTTGACTCCTGCTGTGTATGCTGTGTAAGATGGAAGGGCAAAGTGGCCCAGCTAGTCTTCTTCAAGAATTATAAGGGACATTATCCTATTCATGAGAGTAAAGCAGGCAAGATTTTGTTACTTGCTAAAGTCTCTACTTCTCAATATGATTACATTAGGTCTTGGTTTCCAAAATACAAATTTCCAAGGGACACATACGTTCAAACTTTAACATTGGTTAAAACCTCTGTGTTTCATGAATTAATACATTGTTCTGCTAAAATGAGAATAGGTATTTTGACAAAGGTCCTCCAGAAACTGTTTGTTTGTTTGTTTTGTTTGTTTGTTTGTTTGTTTGTTTGAGACAGGGTTCCTGTTTCTCTGTGTAGTTTTGGTGCCTGTCCTGGATCTCACTCTATAGACCAGGCTGGCTTCGAACTCACAGAGATCCCCCTGACTCTGCCTCCTGAGTGCTGGGATTAAAGGCGTGCGCCACCACTGCCAGCCTCCAGGAACTTTCTTTGTCTGCATCCCAGCTCCAGCCCATCGCCTGATTCAGAGAAAAGCTCAATGGCATATCCTGGATAATCATGGAATGGAGAGAGGCTCACTTGTGGATAGAAATTATTGTGACCTAGATTAAAAAACACCATGCCCAAACTATCTATTGAGTCGGGGTATATTAGGATTGCCAGTAGTACATTTGAATCTCAGAAGGTATTTTATATTTAAACTCAGATTAAATGACAGTTCTGCTCAACATAGTACAAGTGATTTAATTATTGTCCTGGTTTTTCTGCTTCCCTATTGCTGCAGTAAGTACTGACTAAAACCAACTTGGGCTGTAAATGGTTTGTGTGGCTTATATGTCATAGGCAATCACTGAGGAAATCAGGGCAGGGACTCAAGACACACCTGGATGCATCAACTTAGGTGGAGATGGTGGAGGAACCCTGCTTACTGGCTTGTTCTCATGGCTTTCTCAGCTTCCCTCTTAACAACCCAGGACCAACTAGGGGTCATACTGCCTACAGGGGACTGAGCTCTCCCACATCAATCATTAATCAAGAAAATACCCCGCAGACATCTGCAGTCCAGTCTAATGGAGGCAATGCCTCAGGTGATGTCCTCTCTTCCAATGTGACTCTAGTTGTGTACAGTGAAGTTGGGCCAGATTTCCTCTATGTCTTTTCCAAATCTAAGAATACCAACATGGAGCAACAGAACAGGTGTAAAGCTTTATAAATGGTGGAATTCAATACTTCCATATATATATATATATACCAAAGCATATTTAGTGCAAATTCTACCAATTTTAATATGTGAGGAGATTCTAAATGGAAGCAAAAACAAAATTATAAAAACTAATTTTTCCTAGGAGCAGAATAAATAAAAAATCAAGTTTTCAAGTCTATGTTGCTTCCCTTTTGTATAGTATCAAAAAGTAAAATTTTAAACCACTCTAAACAAATGAAATTACTTTCTAGATTTTATGTTTTATGTTTATATACTTCAGGTTTTTTTTTAAAAAAAAATTTCAGTTTAATTGCATTGTGATATTTTACTGGTAATATTGTTCATCTAATTATTTAATTACTTTGCTTGCAATGACAGAAAGCAATACTCTGGGATGATATAAACATATATATCCAACTTAGCAAGTGGACCATGGAGGATCTGAATGAAGGTTTTTCTCTCTCTGCGCCTCAAAGACTATTTCATGTCCTATCTTGGAGCGGTGTCTCACTTTGATATTTAACATATTTTAATCCAGACCAGAATTTGGAAAACAGTAACCCCCGCAAACTATCGCAGGAATTGGCTCAAAGAGGTGAAAGAGCCAGTGACGGTTCCCAGGAAGAAGCCATAGAGCAGTGGGCCAGAAGGAGGCAGCAGTTCAGGGACGGCAAGAGATGCAGCTCAGCTGGGGGCAGCTCTGTCATCAGCAACTTCACTGAAGGCTCCGGTGAGTGGCACCCTGTGTTCCTAAGCAACCGCCAAGGCAGCCGCTCACTGTCTTAATTAAATTCCTTTCCCTTCGTCTCTAGGACATACATCCTGATTGTTTGAACATGGTTGATGTGGCAGTTATATGGTTTTAATTTATGAAAGATATTTCTTAAAATAATCAACTCTTTGTTACACATTAAGGAATTTCTGCTTGGTAAATGGCCTTCTGAAAACACACTTGCAGCAGCCTGCTAAGGCTTCCTTTCTCCTTAAACACTAAAATAGCTAGCTTCTGGGGCTGTTTATAGAGTTAAATTTGTGCTTTACCTTTTTAAAAAAATCTACATTTGTATATGAAATATACATAACATAAAATGATAAGATCAATATTGTTGATTATAAGTGAAAAATGTCTTCTCGTTTTAACATTTCATAAATGAAATGTCTTCTAACAGATCTATATTTTTGTGAGACAGAGTTTCTTCAGGCTATAGTGTGTTACTTAAGCAGCATTGTACCTCAGCCTCACAAACAATGGCAGCTGAGAAAGGATGATAAGCTATTACTGATGAAAACTGACTAGAGTAAAACATGAATTAATACATGGGGGGTTAGTACATTTTGTTGCTACTACAACTAATATGGATCTGAGATTGCAACGGTCGATATTAAAGGAGGCTTGGCTAACTAGTAGGTATGTGCTACTTGCAAATTATTTACAAAAGCAAAGTGCTTTTGAGAAAACAAAATTCGTACCAAAATTTCAGGGAGCTATGATTGATTTTTCTAAAAGAAAGAAAATAAAAAGGTGCATTGTTGTGCTACAGCAAATGTTGTTATGAAAAGACAGTAGTGGGAACAGTGGGTTGTGCCCTGTACAGAAACGGATGGAATGACCCCCATGTCAGCATAGGTAGCTGTCATTCATTTCCCAGAACGAAACAGAAGCCTGACAAAGTCTAAGGGTTGAATGAAGCCATACACCTGTGGGAAAAGATTACAAGTAATGTAAAAAATCAAATACTATGTTATTTCCAGCACAAATCTTCATATTCATGTGACCACAAAGGACGAAATCTTAGATGTTTTATTTTGTGATGAGAGTTTTTATTCTCATCCTTTGATCTGTGCCTAATTCTCCAGGTCTTTCTTTGTGTTGGGCAGGAAGGAACTAAAATTAGAATTGCAGCACTTATACTCTGCATATACTGCTGTGTTTGAGCTTTCTGTTCCCTGTTATTGTTCGTATACACTTGAAATACCTACCCGAGAATGCACATCTCTTATTAGACTCCCAAATCTCTGATCCTAATGCATCACTAATTTGTTCTAATATTTATTTTCTTCCACCTTCTGTTCCATTTTTACTTTATCAACTGTTTTATTTACATTTTATACAATCTTAAACACGTTTTAAAAATATAATGCTAATGTTTAATATGTTTCAAAGCTCTTCCTTATCATTTTTACTTCTAACAGGATTTACTAGTTTTCTTTCTTTAGTAAAAGCCTAATAACTTTTTCAGGAAAAGTCACGTAAAAGAAAAATTGATTTATTATATATCTTAAGGTGTTATTGCCCTCTTAATTTTCAGTGACAATTTGGTATAAAATTCTATATTCAAAGCATGGAAGAAACTGACAATTCCAATGTTCTGTTACCTTAGCAATTCAGCCCGCATTTACATCCTTCTTAATAGTTTTTTAGCCTATTGTTTTAAAATGTCTCCTTTTTCACAACTCGATTTTTTTTTTAATTATTTGATAGGCTGGTTAGTCTTCTGAGACAGGGTCTCTCTGTGTATACCAGCCTGGCCTAGAACTCGCAGAGATCCTCCTGCCACAATTCCATTTTCAATTTTTATAGACTAACTACTTTTTGGATGATTCTCATTTTTATGCCTTTGAGAATATTAACTGATTTATATGACGTTTTAAGCTGATTATTGATAAAATACTAAACTACTTCTGCTAATGCACATTCACATTGGCCGAGTGTCTTTCTTTGGGTTTCAGTTGGGTATTAATTATTTGGCTCATTCCGTGTCTGCCTCCAATTGACAAACTATGTGGGCAGGTAGTGAAACATCCTGGATTGATTCTGCTTTATCCATGACAATGATTCTTCTGTTGCAGCCACTGGCTTAGCTCTGATCCAGGAGATGCTATATCCCATCCAGTGTCTCCTGTCCTCAATATCAACCATTTTGCATTTCCAGCGTAGGGGTTATTGCTGCTGCTTGGATCATGGTGGACTTTGAAGTGGGGATAGTGTAAGCATAAATTACCTTGCAGTTTCTGATGATACCCAATTATCACTGCCTTGTTTGTATCTTGGGTCTCTCTTGTCTTTTCATACTTTCAACATTCTTGGTGATCTTCTTATACTCCTGTATCAGAACTCTCAAATATATTCTATGCTGTGGTTTCACATCATGGTTTATGTGCTACATCTGGGTTTCAGGCATCACATAGCTCATGGCATAATGTGAATTCTTTTCCTGTCATAAACTCATCTATACATCTTATCACACACACACACACACACACACACACACACACACACACACACACACGAGTGGGGGGAGAGAGGGCAGTTTATCCTTTCTCTAATATTTATCTGGACTTTGAAACACCTCAGTCTTTTATGATGCATAAAGTTCAGATGCAAATCCTGCTTCTAAATATATAGAATTGAACATACCAGTGTGTCTAATATAAACCCTGCAGAAATTAGAACATAATTTCATTCATGTTTTATAATGTTTCTATCAAAATGAGAGGCTATAGTCTGTGCTTATTTCCGCTCTCTGAAAATGTCTTTCATTTGCCCCTCTGGATTCCCTTTCTACCCTTCTAACTCCTTTTCTCTAGCCCAAGAGTCTCTCCTCTTTGGCCTATGTCAAGGGCTCTCTGGATTTTTATTAGGTTTGGTTGGTAGTAATATCAAGAGACTGATGATGGGAACAAGGTCTAAATAATATTGCTCCTGGTCCTTCTGTGTGGGAAGCCAAGGGCTGGCTGTGTCTCTGGGCACAGTCCCACACAGTGACCCACGCCATACTGCTTTCTATGATGCAAAGTTCTTGGGACGGATGGCGCCCACTTCCTTTTGTCCTTAGATAAGCTATTCTCAATTTGAATCCAGCATACTTTGTTTTCTTAAAGCCTGTCCAAACTGTGTTACTAGTGTCCTTATTAATTATCTTTAAGTTACCCATTAGAGGAAACTATTGTTTTGTGTGTCATAATCCTACAGTGTACAAGCACTTTCCCTCCTGATGCTGTTGTTAGTCACCTGTGAGTCAGCCAGTCCTGGTTCATTATGCCTATAAGAATAAGGAATTTCCCCTCTCAACCTAACTTCTATAGTTACTCAGAAGTAGAAGGAAAAAGCTGAAAATTATTGAAATTTGATTTAAAAAATTTCAGTATGAGATCTTAGTTATAATGGGGAAGAGTTATGTTTTAACATTTTAGAAGCAACAGGAATGCCAGTGTAAGGATTTTTTTTTCCATTTTTAAAATTTATTTATTAAATTTAATTTTACATATCAGCCATGGATTCCCTTGTTCTCCCCGCTCCCACCCACACCTTCCCTGCCTTCCCCCCCAGCCCACCCCCCATTTCCATCGCCTCCAGGGCAAAGACTTCCCCGAGGATTGAGTTCAACCTGGTAGATTTAGTCCAGGCAGGTCCAGTCCCCTCCTCCCAGGCTGAGCCAAGTGTCCCTGTATAAGCCCCAGGTTCCAAACTGCCAGTTCATGCACTGAGGACAGGACCCAGTCCAACTGTCTGGATGCCTCCCAAGCAGATCAAGCTAATCAACTGTCTTATTTATCCGGAGGGCCTGATCCAGTTGGGGGCTCCTCAGCTATTGGTTCATAGTTCATGTGTTTCCTTTCGTTTGTGTATTTGTCCCTGTGCTTTTTCCAACCTTGGTCTCAACAATTCTCGCTCATATAAACCCTCCTCTTTCTCACCAATTGGACTCCTGGAGCTCCACCTGGGGCCTGACTGTGGATCTCTGCATCCAGTTCCCTCAGTCATTGGATGGGGTTTTTAGCATAACAATTAGGATGTTTGGCCAGTTGGCCTTCGAATACTTCAGAGATCTATTCAGAGGACCTGATCCAGACATCATGAGGTTTGCAGGCAAATGGATGGATCTAGAAAAAAATCATCCTGAGTGAGGTAACCCAGACTCAGAAAGACAAATATGGTATGTACTCACTCATAGGAGGATACCAGATGTGGAACAAGGATGACTGGACTGCTACTCACATCACCAAGGAGGCTACCTGGAAAACAGGACCCCAAGAAAGACACAAGGATCACCCAATGATGGAGCCATGAGCAACCTGGACATGAGTGGGAGCAATGAAGGGCGAGGGTCGAGAGAAAGAGAGCCTGTGGGAGCAGGAGATGCCAACTGGACCAAGAACAGAGAGGGAGAACAAGGAATAGGAGACCATGGTAAATGAAAACCACACAAGAAAAGGAAGAAACAAAGTGCTAGAGAGGCCTACAGAAATCCACAAAGATACCCCCCACAATAGACTGCTGGCAATGGTCAAGAGACAGCCGGAACTGACCTATTCTGGTGATGGGATGGCCAAACATCCTAATAGTCATGCTAGAAACCCCATCCAATGACTGAGGGAAACAGATGCACAGATCCACGGCCAGGCCCCAGGTGGAACTCCAGGAGTCCAATTAGCGAGAAAGAGGAAGGTTTATATGAGCGAGAATTGTTGAAACCAAGGTTGGATAAAGCACAGGGACAAATAGCCAAAAGAATGGAAACACATGAACTATGAACCAAAGGCTGAGGGCCCCACAACTGGATCAGGCCCTCTGAATAGATCTCTGAAGGATTTTAAAGGTAAAAAAGTCTAAAGGAATATATTGTCTGCTGTTGGTTTCTCTTGAGGAATTGTTAGGCTGTTTTAGTTTATTTAGTTTTGTTGGTTTGGTTTTTGTTAGTTTGTTCTGTTTTTTATTTTTTGATGATT